CTGAGGCTGGACCACTCACTTCCTCCAACCCAGAGGGGGAGCACTCCCCCACCCCCGGCACAGCTGGACCTGTTCCTTCACCACTGTGCCCCGGGACTCAAGAGTGGGTCAGCCTGGCAAAAAGACACACCGGGTGATGCCATCCATGCCCACCTCCACTGGGATTCTCCTGCCGGGGAAGAGGGGCCCCCGGTGCAGAGTCACAGCTGCTTTGGGGCTGAAGGGCAAGTGTCCCTGGAAGCGGGAGCATGTTTAGCTTTGTCAGTCACTTACAGCTCCTTGTGAGAGGGAAACGCTGTGACAGAGGAATCAGGAGGGATTAAGTAAGAGGGAGTTGAGGGCTGGCTGAAGTGGGATGGTTCAGAGGAGCTCTGTGCCCAGTCACAGCTGAAGGCTGCCACAGATGGAGCCACCCAGTCATGGGCATCTTATCCAAGTAACTACTTCCTCAAAAGGCCGGGGCGGGCATGGGGCACTTACCCACACAGGCAGTCTCATCCTTAGCCAGGAACAGGGCCAGGGGCTGTCTGTCTATAGCCCTTAGAAGATGACTTTCTCTTGCCCCTCCCCCAGCACAGTCACAGGTGCCTCCCCACCTCCCTGTGTCTAACCCTTCCCTTTCCCGTTAAGAGGATTCAAGCCAGAATCTGTCCGCACAACATCAGAGTCAATTTCATCTTGTCATTAAACCTGATGCTCTGTAAGCTGATCTTATGAAAAAGAAAATTAACCACAAGGCAGTAATGCAGTTTTATAGCACTGCAAACTTCCCTGTTCCCACTAACACACACACACACACACACACACACACACACACACACACACACACACACAATCTACTTTCATCTTTTCTTTTCCCACCTTTTATGATATTGTTTCACTTAATGCCAACAAAATCCTGCCAGGTAAGTATGGCCATCTTACAGATGAGAAAAGGTGAGGGAAATCCTCCAGGATCACAGAGCTAGTGACTGATACACAGCCAGTCTTGGAAATGAGGTTTGTCTGACACTGAGGAGCTGGGATCCTTCCACTCAGACACTGTGACCCAAAGTAAGAGCCTCTTCAGGGTCAGAAATTGTAAAATTAGAATTCTGTTTTGCCACCTGCAAAATCTTAAGGTTGGGAGATATTTTGAAGATTGTCCAGGCCTACGTGGGAAGGGAAGCCAGGGTAGCCTGGAGTGCTGTAGTCCATGGGATCACAAAGTCAGACACGACTTAGTGACTGAACAACAACCAGGTCCGTGACCCAGACAGATGTCTGAATCTCCTGCATGATGTCCTAGCTACAGCTTAGATACAGCCGCTCCAGGAAAGACATTTTGTCCTGATTCAGACCATGGCAGCTGAAAATCACTAGACAGTTCTTGGGGGTTTCAGGCTGAAATCTCTCTCCCTATAGTGTCCATATGTCAAAACTCCTCTTGGGACCATGGAGGAACCAAGAAGTGAGTCACTCCTGAGCTGTCTTTGTCCTGACTGCACACTCTCGATTCCTTTTAACCTATTCTCACCTGGCAGTTTCTCACCACTCTCCTGGTAATGGGATCTGCTTTCTCTGTTCAGTCTCAAGGTGGGATACCAATGTGACCACAGTGCTCCAGAAGTGAGCCGACCAGCCCAGAGAAGAATGAGACCAGACCATCAGTTCAGTTCAGTTGCTCAGTCATGTCTGACTCTGCGACCCCATGAACCACAGCATGCCAGGCCTCCCTGTCCATCACCAACCCCTGGAGTCCACCCAAACCCATGTCCATTGAGTCAGTGATGCCATCCAACCATCTCATCCTCTGTCATCCCTTTCTCCTCCTGCTCTCAATCTTTCCCAGCATCAGGGTCTTTGAGTCAGCTCTTCGCATCAGGTGGCCAAAGTATTGGAGTTTCAGCTTCAACATCAGTCCTTCCAATGAACACCCAGGATTGATCTCCTTTAGGATGGACTGGTTGGATCTCCTTGCAGTCCAAGGGACTCTCAAGAGTCTTCTCCAGCACCAAAGTTCAAAAGCATCAATTCTTCGGCGCTCAGCTTCCTTTATAGTCCAACTCTCACTTCCATACATGACTGTTGGAAATACTATAGCCTTGACTAGACGGACCTTTGTTGGCAAAGTTATGTCTCTGCTTTTTAATATGCTGTCTAGGTTTGTCATAACTTTCCTTCCAAGGAATAAGACCAGACTATATAAACCTTTTATTTTTTTTCATGAGACTTACTATTTCACACTGGGAACTCACTTTGATCTTATCATGAATGAAAACCCTAAGTGCCTTTCTCATGTACTGTCCCAAAGCCACATCCTCTCCTGGCCCTTGTCCCACTGGGTTTGGGGGTGTTCATGTCCTGTTTCGTTCTTGTAGGCTAGGCCTAACATCTACCACGGGCAACCTGGCCATCTCCCTGCTTCATGGACCCCTGCTCCATACTTCATACTTCCTGGCACCGCTGACTCACCTCGGCTCAGCCACGGGCTCCTCTGGTCGCAGCTCTGGCTGTCCGCACCGAGACTCTGCCCAGAGGTCCCACTGACCTAGTCATTGGGGTGTGACTCTTGATTCCCAGCTTCCTGATGCATCCCTAGGGGTCATCTGGGAGATCCTGGACACACCCTCATGCACGGCTCCTGGAAGCAAGGGCCACTGTCTCAGGCCCTCCCAGTGCTGAAACGCAACAGTATTTCTACTGTGCTATGACTGCCCTATACATTCTCCTCCCAGCAATCCACATGTGAAGTGGGCATAAGCCCCTCTCTTCCCCAGATTCTACCATCCCTCCCACTCCACCCTGAATCTGTGGGTAGTGGGCAGGTCACACAGCATCTTACCCTACATCCTCATTCCCCGAGTCTCCCTCCGAGCTTCTCCCAGCACCAGATGGGCTGTCTTCTGTCTTGGGAGGCTAGTACTGCCTTTGTGTTGAACCCTCTGTTCTCTGCACCCCAGCTGGACATGTCACCCTATGCTTTAATCTCCATAGTGTACTCTAGACACAGAAAAGGGATCTTCATGGAAACTAGAAAACCTCCCTCTCAGCAACCCGGCTTTTTTTTTTTTTAATGGCCATGCTCTGTGGTTGCAGGATCTTAGTTCCCCGACCAGAGATTGAACCTGGAGCCCTCAGCAGTGAAAATGCAGAGTCCTAACCAGTGGACCTATAGGGGATTCCCAAGGCTTTCAGAATTATTGATTATTCACTTCCTATGGACATGGACTTGTAATATTCTAATTAGAAATGCAAAGCTGGGCAAGACTTTTTTGACCTATGATGGATGAGTCTCCCCAGAAGCCACAAGCCCACTAGTTCAGTATGTAGGAGCGTCTGCATTACTGATACTGAAAATCCATTATTCTAATATCTCAGAAATAATATCTCACTTTTTCTCATGACTCAAAACAAACATTTAAAAGAATTTACTTCTTTTCGATTCCCCCATGCAGACGTTCAGTCTCCTTACCTCCAAATTCTTCACACGTCCCAAATTCTCTTCTCCCAGATCTGTACTTGACCCTTCATAAATAGACCCTTAAGTTATCTGTGCGGCGTCTGCTTCACTCATCAGCCATCCCACCCAGTGGCATAAAGGTCACACCCTTGAAGGTGTGCTCTCATCGGCTCACATCAATGTGTTTTCAACCCAGGTGTTAGCGTATTTAAAACCAATTGAACTGTTATTATTTTCACCCCAGCCTTATTAACACTCAATCCACTTAATGAGGATGGGAGGTGGGGCTTGTTGTTTGTGTAACCCCCATAGCCCAATTCGTTATAAGAGTAGATGCAACAAGTTCCTAAGAAAAGAGAAAGGAGGTAAGAGGCAGGGAGGCCACGCAGGCCTGGCAGGGTCATGGTAGGAGCTGGGTTTTACTATGTGCTGGGAGGTGACATGAACTGATGACAACTGTCAAACATCGCTCTGGTTGCTGTGTGGAAAAAAGCAGTGGGGATTGGGGCAGGGGAGGCAGTGGGAAGTCAAGTCAGAAGGCAACTATTGGGGTGTTTGGGGTTTTTGAGCATGAGTCACCCATTCCTCTTGTTGCTTGACCCCACAATAAACCTTTATTTTCTCCAAAAAAAAGAAGGCAGTCAGACTATCCCACTTCACTCCCTGAGAAGATGGAGGCGATGGAAGGATGGAGATTCAATCTGAAGGGATCTCTATGTTGGAGGCAGGACTGACCTGCCTCATATGGTTGTCGTCAGACTTTAGGGAAGTGCATGAGGAAGCACCCCACACTAGAAGTCTCGGAGAGACAGACTGTGATGAGGGGACATGGGGGGGCGGGCACTGAGAGATATCTTACTTCATGTGTGCGGGGGGGAGGGGTGGTGAGCACAGTTTGGGGGCGAGCTGAAAGCCCTCTAGAAAGATCCAGTACGGATGGGGTAGGAAGAGGTGGAGGTGCACCAAATACTAACAACCTGAAAACTGAAAGAAGCTGTGCTTCTGGCCATGACATCATCACTTCCCTCGTAAAGTAGCTGATAGGGTATTTCCCAGTCATAACAAAGGAATGGTAAAATTAACTACCCATCCCAGCCAAATTCCTTTCTCCTATTGTTTCATCATAAGTGGGCAGTTTTGAAGCAACTTAGCACCGCGCACAGCATGGGAAGTTTCAAGCCATAGGTGGGCCTTTCTAGATAGATCTGTGAGAGAAGTGGTTCTGAGTTCCTAAAAGTGACCTATAAATAGAACGGTGGAACACAACTCACTAGGAAGTTTCCCCCGGATAACACACACACACACACAGTGCCACAAATCAGCTTTTTCTCACCAATCAGTATCTCTGCTACTTACTCATGCTCATATTGTGGCCAAGAGTGACACTCCAGGATTTATTTTCTTCTGTTTGCCCAGAAGGGTTTAAGCTGTTAGTTTTTGTGCCAGTTCATAGTAGAATGGGCCAGAGGAATCACAGCAGGAAGCATTTGTAAGAGTCTTTTAAAGATAGCCATTCCTCCTTTATGAGCAAAGTCTAGAGAACGTGTTTTATTTTAGGGTCAAGGGTGAAAACAGTTTTGCTTTTAAAGACCTATAAATATAACTAATGCAAGATTTCCCAGACCCCGCCAGTCTGAGACAGGAGAACAAGAGGAACGCATACTGGGCTGGTTCTGAGCCACACCTGTTCTCGTCACCCTGGTGCCACGCCCCACCCCCAACCCAGTATTTCTGGACATCTTGAGAACTCAGGGTTTCAGAGAGGGCAGTGGTCAAGAGTGCTGACAGATGGCAGTTCCACTGGTGGCTGGACATGTGAGCTTTGGTTTCCTCTTCTGAAAACTGGGAAATGTAAAATCAGAAAGTGGGCATCTCACGTCAAGGTACTTTCTAAGGAGAAATGATCTCACATCTATAAAGGACTGAAGTGCGGTACCCAGCACCTAGGAAGTGCTCAGTAATAATACCCATCTGTATCTACCACTATCATCATCAGTACCCATCCCTCTTCCCCCAGAGTGGACACCCCCCCCTTCCCCTGCACCCTGACTAAGACATTTTTTCCAGGCCGGGTTTAACCACGCCTTGAGTCCAGCTGAGGTTCTCAAGAATCTCTGCAGTCTTCACACAGCCATGCCCTAGCAGACATGCCCAGGCATGTCCCCTCCCCGCTCAGCCTCAGGCTGAGCTGTCCCCACATAAACCCAGAGATGGAGGAACGCACCACTAGCAACCCTGCCCCTCCCTGTCCCTAGCTGCTCCCTCCTACAAGGAGTGCCACCCCAGGCCCCCAGGACAGGAGACCAAGGCTCTGAAGAAACTGGCTGCTGGCAGGGATGCCAATAAAGAAAGAGTGAGCTTTCTCGAGAGTCTCTGAAGTTGCCAGTTGTCAGTGAAGATGTCAGTTGACATCTGAAGATGTCAGAGCCATCGATGGTGAGAGCCAAAGATAAGTCATCTCTGATAAAATCAGGTAAATGGGAGGAAACAGCTGGGGGCACAAGGACATTATGAGTAGCTGAGGAAAGGCCAAGGATGACCCAGCAGCTTCCCCAGTTCCTCCCCCACGAAAGCCCAGCATTGTCAACACAAAGTCAGAAAAACACTGAGGCAACATTCCCTAAACTGAGTTAAATGCCAACTCTGTCATTTGTGGAGTGACCTTTGACAAGTTTCACATCTTCTGGGGGAACCACAATTTCCTCATTTAAAACCAGGAGAGCCGCCTGCATTGCATGTCCATCTTCAGTGAGGCCATTGCCATTACTTTCACCTGGGCTATGTTCAGTGGGCTCACCCTTTGCATCCTCTGAGCACCTGCTGTGTGCTTGGGGCCACTGGGCCTGGGGAATAAAGGGCAGCACAAAATACACCCCAAAACAAGCCACTTCAGCATAAGGACTGTGTTGAGCAGAAAGCAACTGAGGGAAAAAACAAGAAAAGCTCTCTGCCTTCTCATTTGCCCAAAGTGTTAGTCGCTCAGTTGTGTCCGACTCTTTGCAACCCCATGGACTGCAGCCTGCCAGGCTCCTCTGTCCATGGACTTCTCCAGGCAAGAACACGGAAGGGGGTTGCCATTTTCTTCTCCAGGGGATCTTCCCAATCCAGGAATTGAACCCAGGTCTCCTGCATTCCAGGCATATTCTTTAACGTCTGAGCCACGGGGAAGCCCAAAAGCAGAACATAAATTTATAAAGATGTTCCCCACCCACAACCAGGAAGGTCAGGAGTTAATCACCAGAGACAACTCTAGACCCTTATCAGCCCAGAGAAGCCACCAGAGGAATCTCCATCAAAAGCTCCACTAACCAGCTGTTATCTTCCTTTAGTTTCCCCATGTTCCCACAGTTTGCCACCTTTGGAAACCTACAACCCTTTCCCTTTGTCTTCTCGTTTTTCTACAAAGGTATTGTTCTTTTGTTAAAATGCTCTGTAAGTCCAGGGTCCACCCACCCTTTGAGTTTCCCTTCCCTGAGTTCTCCCATTACAATGCATGAGGCCTCATAAACTTCCATTTATTTTTGTCTTGTTCATCTGTCTTCATAGGTCTAAACTGTGGGGGCCCAGTGAACGTAGCTAAGGGAGGTGGAAAAAAAGAAGAGTTTTTCCTCTTCTACAAGAGCAGAGACCTGTGGGCAGGAGGAGTCTCATTCCCACGCCAGTCTGCAAACAAACCAGTTGGTGGGTCAGTGGCCTTCAGCCCTGACTGCCATTTAGAATCACCTGGGGGAGGATTTAAGATGCCAATGCCCAAGCCAATCTCCAGACCCACAAAATTAGAAACTCTGGGGGTGTTTCTGCTGTTCCCATTTCAGAGAAGTTTCCCTTCTTCCTTCACTGGACAGTTTCCTGCTTACCTCCCACCTTAGATGAAAATTAGATGAGGACATCCTAATTTCCCTAAATCTGGGTTACGGGCCCCTCCTATGCTGCCCTTGCCCATGTCTGCATCTATACCCCCAACTCTAGCTCGTCAGGGGTGGGGCCTTCCACCTATCCATCCTTTATTTGATCCAGAGTAGACACTAGGGCTTCCCTGGTGGCTCAGATGGTAAATAATCTGCCTGCAATGCGAGAGACCCAGGTTCGATCCCTGGACCGGCAAGATCCCCTGGAGAAGGAAATGGCAACCTACTCCAGTATCCTTGCCTGGAGAATTCCATGGACAGAAGAGCCTGGTGGACTACAGTCCGTGGTATTGCAAAGAGTCAGACATGAGTAACACTTTCAGTTTGAAACACTAGATACCTACTTACTGGCTGAAAAGAATGAATGGATCTTATTTCCATTATAATTTGCTTTTCCCAGAGCTCTGCCTTCTCACTAAGAATTGGAATGAACCCAAATCCAAAATTTGATTTCATCTTACCCGTGCAAGGTGGAGAGTATGACAGGAGACCAAGAATTGATGAAATGAGGGAACAGGAGTAGTCAACAGCTAGGGGTCTGCTCCTTTCCCGCTCCTGCAGAGATAAAGCCAGCAGAAGGAAGCCGTGTCTCTTCCCTCCTCACCAACGCAGGGTCACTGCCATGGCCCCTGAGCCAAAGTGCCACCCTGCCCCACTGCCAGCCTCTCCACTCCTGCAACATGGGGGGTGAGGTCTCCCCTGGGAAAGGCAGAGTGACTGGGCCCTGCAGGAACACCCCTCTAGGGAGATTCTTCATCTGTAACTTCCCTGAAGGTTCAAGGGGCCACATTTGGGGCAGGGACTGCATGGCTTTGACCCTGAGCGCCAGCTGGTGACTGGGCCCCCTGGCTCCCAGGGCATCAAGGGTTTGGTGGCACTGGGAGAACACAAAATGTAAAGCCAGTCTGTGAGCGCAGCACCTCCAGGGAGAATTAAGAAGCTGAACGGTCAAGGTGAGGCTCTAGGGTTGATTATCTGGGCACCCTTGCTGCTCACCATGGCCACCTGGACGTCCAGACAACTGACCTCACCAGGTTCAAAATCAACTCTCCTTTCTGTCCTCTCCCCCACCCCCCAAAGCGCCTTCTCTCTGTGACTTCCCCATTTCTATAAATAACCTCACCATCCTCCGGGCTGACATTTCAGTCATTTTTTTTATTCCTCCCAGGCCCACGGCTCTCTGGCCCACACATCTCCCCTCCGCTCACACAAAAGTCTCCTACCTCAGCCCCTGCGGCTCTCTCATCGCCCCACTTAGACCACTGCCAGGACAACCCTGACCCTCTGATGCCCCTAATCAAAACTTTCACGGGACCCCCTCCCCCGGACCTTCTCCTGAAGAAAACACAACCTCCACGGTGGCATTCAGACTTCACAATGGCCCCCACATGCGTCCCTGCCCGGATCTGCTTCCGCACTGTGCCCACACCCCTAGAAGAAGCATCAGCCTTCCAAACGTCTAAGTCCTGCTCATTCTTTGGGGCCATTTCAAAAGCATTTTCCACAGAGCCCCTCCTGCCCCTGGTTAGGGGCTGGGGCTCTGGCCCCGGCTGCAGCTTGCACGGAGGATTTGCCCTGTACCAGCCGAGCGGGTGGGCGGGAGGCCTTGAGCCTCTCGGGGCCGGGCTTCCTCCCGGTCAGAGATGCTGCGGGGACAGCACATCATGAGCACTCACTTAATAGCTGTGGATACAAAGCCCCTTCTCTTCTTCCTTCACGGGGCTCAGCTGTGCCAGCGGGAGCCCACCTGCAGGCACACGTGAATGGGCACCTCCCGTGGAGCCCTGCTCATTTCAGCTGTCCGTCAGCCACGTCTGGTGATCTGGATGGGGGCTTCCTCCAGGGGCACCAGCCTCTCTGGCATGAGTGCTCCCACCCTGCTCCTCACAGCCCCTCACTGAGCCTATGAGAGCCCAAGCAAAGTCAACTCCACAACACCCACCTCCGATCGGGGTACCCCCGCCACCCCCAGAGTTTCAGAGTGCTTCCAGAGCCACCAGTTGGTGATCTTCAAGTGACTTGAATAGAGAGGAAAAAAAAAACACTGCATGTTGCTTGATGCTAAATGGACCTCTTTGCACTAAATCAATCACACTTAGCTGTGTGCCTTCCCAGTGCTTCAGTCATGCAGTAGCTCAGAGCAGATTTCCCACTTCAAGGAGGTAACGGTGACTGGTCCCACTTTCCAGATGGGACAGGAAGACAGATGCTGGTAAGGCCGTGGGCAGATGACAGGACGGCTTTCTGGTAATGCAAGAGTGGGGATGCACACGCAGGGTCCGGAGAGGGAGGCAGTACAGCCTGGAAGAAGCCCAGGAAGGGGCACGCGAGCTGAATTCTGAGAGGGCTCCAGGAGCAGAGTCTGACAGGAGCAGTGCCAGGGGAGGAAGGCTTCCAACCCAGGGCCGGTTTGTGTTGTCCGCAGGACAGAAAATAGACCATTTTCTGCGCCCTTCATGACTTCACCGAGGGAAGAATGCGAGTCTATGGGAACACCAGAGAAACACAAATCCGCACACTCATTGGTATTTCTGTCTGCTGCATGTATGCCCTGCTGCCTGGGGGCCTGCGTGGAGGAGGAGGGGTATTCTGCCACCTGACAGAAGACAGTTCCCTCAAAGCCCACTGCAAATCCCCAAATGTGAGGTTCTTTAAATTCACTTTCCCTGAGGGGCCCAGGAACGCACACTTTTACTCTCCAAGCGCACACATCAAAGCACATGTTTGTCAACACTTTTCTCCCCAGCCCTGGAGACCAACCATCACACCCCTTTCCAGAAGTCTGCGGTCAGTGGCGGTTCCGACTGGGACCCCAACTTTCACAGCTGCCGGGCAGGGCAGGGCAGGACCCCAGGCTGCTGTGACCGGAAACCCAGCCTGCTCTCTCAGCCACCCCCTCCCGTCACCTACAGCCCACAGGCTCTCACTTCCTCTTTCCTAGAACAGAAATATTCTGGCAAAACAGCTCCGCACATTGCATGTGGAGACGCTTGGTATACCTTTGCCTACTCCTGGCCTCCATTCTTTCCTGCATAGTTACAGCCCCGCTTCCAGCCCACTCAGGTCTTCCCTGAGTCTGTCTCCCGCTCTCTCTTTCCTTTCTAGCTTTCCTACCAAGACTCTGAGAGAACCCACTCCTTCTGTGTTTTCTTCCCTCTTCCCCTACCCCCTTTCAGGCTTCAGTCCCTCTGTCTTCGTCCCCTTCTTCCACCTCCACTCCTTTCCTTTCTCCCTAGTTCTGAAGCAAGCGAGCCAGAGAATCTGTCTTTGCCTCTCCTCTCCCCGCTCCTCCCCCAGGCACACAAAAGGGGACAGAGGCACCAGATGGCCCTGGTGCTAGCAGCCGGGCTCAGGGGGCCTGCTGCCCCACAGAGGTCCCCGCTGGGCCTGCAAGCTAGTCCAAGCTGCTGCCCGGCCCAGCCGCCCAGCTGGCAGAGGAGCAGGGCGCGAGGCCAGCCTCCACCACATGAGGCCAGCTCCCCCTGCCAGCTCCCCCTGCCCAGCCTGCCCCGGGCCAGCCCTCAAGGCGGGGGAGGGGGAGCAAGCAGACTCACCAGCTGAAAAGCAGAAAGTGTCCCCAGGTGTCTGAGCCTCAGTACCAGAGTGCAGGGCCCAGTGGCCTATGGGGACACTGGGATTTCCCAGGAGGGATAGGAGTACCTGGCAATCTGCTCTTTCTATGGAACAGGCTGTGCCAAGGAAGGGCCTCAGCGATAGGTGAGAGGGCCACAGAGGAGCTCACTGTCCGTGCCCCCCCAAAAAAACTTAGATGATGCAGCAAATAGTGTTAATAGCTACCATTTATCCAATAGTTAGTTGAGTGAGTGAGTGAGAGTTGCTCAGTCATGTCCGACTCTTTGCAACTCCATGGACTGTAGCCCGCCAGGCTCCTCTGCCCATGGGATTCTCCAGGCAAGAGTACTGGAGTGGGTTAAGCTAAGTCATCACTGCAGTATCCCAAGTACTTCAGTAATCCCGCAGCGTAAGTATTTGGATGTCCACTTTACAGACAAAGAAACTGAAGCTCGGAGAAGTTCAATGACACATCCCAAGCATAGCCAGAAAGCCAGTTAGCATTGTTTAAAGTTTCTTTGCTAAGCTAATGTTCCAAATGTGGGTGCCTACTCTCTTTTTTTGCTCCATTTGCCCCACTAAGGCCTTCAGGAAAGCCACGTGGTGCACAGCAGAAGCTTCCAATCCCGGCCATGACGAATGCCTGAGGGACTTTTTAAAAATCAAGATCCCAAGACCTCTCCTCTGGAGATTCTGATGTGCACCCAGCCTCTCCAGGAGACACTTAATACAAGAGCAGCCTGTGAAAGAGGCAGCCTGGGTTTCCTTTGAGAAAAGATGCTTTGATCCCTCCTGGCCTCAGTTTCTTAGTACAAAAACAAGAAGATAATGTGTACTTCAACACATCACGAGTATCGTGCGGTGCCTGGCCTGGTGCCAGGTGTACTGTCGATGAGCAGTTGATGTCAGCTCTCTTTCACTTCCCTCCAGAAACTTGAGGTTCCAGAGTCCAGACTCAAGAGAAAAGGGCGAAGTTCACAAATATTGCACATGATACCCTGACCTTTGAATTGTGCCTGAATAAAGGTCTGTGCACCCTGCCCCCAGGTCACCAGCTCCCCCAGGACTGCAGGCAGTCTTGACAACAAGCCAGCATGGGCTAGGTGATTTCCAGGGGTGGGGCCTCTGCTCTCAGAACTTCCATGGAAAGGGCTCAAAAGTGATCTATTTCATCTACGAAAGGTCAAAGCCCAGCTTAGCTAAGAGTTTCTGTCCGTCTATGAGTGTTCCCCAGCCTGCCTTCCCTCATTCACCAAAGCACACACATCCAGAGACACCCTTACCGGCTGCCCGCTCTGGAGAGCAACAGGCTGAGCCCCAGGTCCAAGCCCTCCTGCCCTGTCTAGCCACCATCAGCCCCTCAGGACACTCTCTCCCGCCAGCCCGGGGCACCTCCTAGCCCCTGACCCGAAATCCACTTGCCCACTTTGAAAGGCGACGATCCCTGAATTTTCTTAAGGTCATGCAGGGGGGGTTCTGCAGTGGCTCAACAGGAGTAAACATGAAAACTTCTAGAAAAGAGAGGAAATGGAAGAATGGAGAGAACTAAGTGCTGTGAACTAAGATGGAAGAGTTTCCCCAGAGCTTGTGCTCCTGTGTGGGGGCTCCCTCACGTGACTTTCAGGAAGGCTTCCTCCAGGAGAGAGAAGACAAAAGAAGAAGAGGAAGGAGCAGGAGGAGGTGAGGGGGAGGGGGAGAAAGAGAGAAGGGAGAGGGAAGGGAGGAGGGGGAGGGAGGGGGAGGAGAGGCAGGAACTGCAGTTGTAAACAAGGTAGCCCAGTGACCACAAAGTGGGAGGAGCCCATTTCCAGATGACCTTGGCAGTGAGGATCACGTGAGGAAGTCTGAGTGCACACCCTGACTTCAGAGAGTCACCAGCTAGACCGTGAGAGGCGGAGGGTGGGCAGCAGCGCGCAGGGCCGCTGTGAAATGCTCAAGTTCCTCCTCGTCCCACTCCTCCAACTGGGCCAAGCTCTTCCTGCCCTGAGACTTGAGCGGGCTCTACCACTCCACTACAGACTGTGTCCCTGCCCATGCTCCGTGCCTTGGGATAAATGTGGCACTTCTCTCTGGAGCATGGATTTTACTCAATTATTTGGTGGGAGGCAATGTTTTGATTAAACATTTAGGGGTTTTATTTTGCAATAGGTACAAGATGTATGTGAATTTTCAAGATAAGATAGGAATCTTTCAGAAATGTCCCACCTGTAGCCATCTTTATCAACAGCCCAATGGGTGTGTACTCTCTCCCGCTGTTCAGAGGTATCACCAGGAAGAGTAGAAGGGTGAGTGGTTCGATGCATAGGCTTGAGCACCAGACTGCCTGAGTTCACATCCAGGTACTGCTGGTATGACCTTGCACAAGTTGCTCAACATCTCTGTGCCTCAGTTTCCCACCTATGGAGTTGGGATGACAGTAACGGTACCTATTTCCCAGGACATGTGTGTGAAGTGCGCAGGGTAAGCACCTATGTCAGCTGTTTCATTACCCAGGACACTTGATTCCATGCCACCTGGAACTACCTTCTCTTCCCAGCAAGAACACTGGTAGCATTGGGAGGAAGGACAGGGAAGCCTGGCATGCTGCAGTCCATGGGGTCACAAACTGGGACACAACGGAGCAACTGAACAACAACACTGGGAGGGGGACAGTGATCTGTGCTCTTGGGCATGACCAGGGGGGTCCAGGCACCAGCAATTTCCCTCCCAACACCCAGGCCCCTGGGTGGCTCTGGGGCTCTCACATCAGGGCGCCGCCCCTTGCTGCCCGCTTCCTTTATCTGCAAGGTGATTATTCACCGACACCATCTTCCCTTTCCTACTAACTCTGCCCATCCTCAGGGTCAGGGCTGAGAATGAAATGAGTCAAGGCTTAGAGCATAAAATTTAAGGAGACTTACTCTCAGCTTTGTGCAAGTGCTCCTAGCTCAGGTCAGGCGTCACCTCCTCCAAGAAGCCCTCTCTGAACCCCATCCATCCAAGTCTTCTTGGATGTCCCTCACCTCTGATCAAAATCCATGGCAACTGCCCATTGACTAGCTGGCTCCCCCAGCAACCTGTGCTCCTGAACGTCGGGCACATAGTACCTTCCTTTCTCCTCCAGCAGAGACTCACACTTGCTGAGCCAGGGAAGGAAGGCAATGAATGTCCGGTGGATAAAGATAGAAGGAATCTTTCTAGAGGAGACCCCGAAGCCTGGCAAAAGTAAAGTAATATGCTAATTGCCCAGGTGGGGTAATGAGACTGGAGGGAGGAGGGAAGAAGGGGAGAGTAGAGGAAACAGGGATGGCTTACGGAAGAAATGGCCCCCATCTGAGGGGCAGACACCCAAGAAGGAGGGCGAATACTTCCTCCTTCCTGAAAGATATGGCACTCTGGGACTCACTCTGCTCCTTCATTCACACAACAATCCTTAACCAAGGATCTGCTGGCATGAGAACTAGAGCAAAGAGCCAGACGGGGGCAGGACCCACCCCCAGGGCTCCCAGGAGCCCTCGCCACCACCTCCATGGAGTCACAGATGATCAAGGAGCTCTTTTTCTCCTTCTCTCCACGCTGAAATACACCACTCAGGCCTGGGCCCTCTATGCCTGATGCTGACCTGAGTCACAGGGACCTCAGTCTTCAGAGCCACCAGTGACAATCCTACTGCAGGAACTGTGCTTCCAGGGAGACACCATGGGGTGTGCTGAACACACATGAGAAAAACCAGGAGGTTGAGTTGTGGGGCCTTGGGCGTCCTCTCATCCCTGGTCCCCTATCCCTTATCCCCTCCCTTGCCATAGTCCTGGTAAGCCCCTAGATGGGGCACAATTTCCACACTGGAAAACCGGCCTCCCAACAGGAGAGGCCCCAGGAGGCAGTGGGAGGAGCAGGCCTTTGCCTGGATTTGACCCCCAGGATTGGCAGGCAACTGCTAAGTGACTGTGGCTGTATCATTCAGGCTGTCTGTGGCCCAGCCCAGACGTACTGCTTAGATGACATATGTGAAGGCCCATCACTGTCCACTGGAGGCTTCAACAATTGCCAAACCTGTTCCTTTGAACAATGGACTCCATGATTTATCTGGATAGCTTTATAAATTTTCTTTTTGTAATGTTGCAGTGTCCCCACCCCAACTTAAAAGCACTATATTCTTAGGTTGTTCCTCTGTCAGATAACCACTACAGTGGTCAAGCTACAGATCATTCCACTTCTGGTGAGCAGAGAGCCAAGCTCCACTCTGGGGACAGATAGCACAAAGGCTGGGGCAACCATCTCCACTCCGGACATCTGGAAACATTAACCAAAAGCGGGGAAGCTCAGGTTAGGTCAGAAGACACATATGGGAGTTGGGGTAGTGAGTGGTCATGACTGAGACACAGGGCAGTCTGGGAAGAAAAGTCAGCTTGAGAAAACTCACAGGCATGTGTGGCTCACGTGGGAACTGCACACAGGTCCCGGGCCCGGGACTCTGGAGAGGAGATATGGCATCATGGGTGATTAAGGTCCAGTCCAAAAGAGCCTTTTATTTTAAATAATGGGTTTGTATTTCTCCTGAAAGCTACAGAGAGCCACTCTCCAGCAGAAGGTTGGATGAGCAAGGTGGGGTGGGGTGGGGGTGGAGGGATGGCTCCAGGCAGAGGCCACTGTGATGAGCAGCCTCATTAATTGTTAGAGCCTGGATTAGGACAGTGACCCAGGAACGGGAAAGAGGAAGTGGAATCAAGAGATATTCAGAAGGTAAGAAAAACAAATACAAAAAAGCAGAGATGAGAAAAGGGGTGGTATCTAGGATAACTTCCAGATTTCAGGCAGCTAGACCAATGGCCATTACTTAGGCCGAGAACCCAGGAGGAGACGATAATAGTGAACTTGGTTTTGGATAAAAGAAGTTGGAAATATTTGAATGACATCTAAGTGGTGTCCTATAGAACTAGCAAGCGACATTGAGTTCACTGAGTCTGATGAGTACTCTTAGGGCCCCCAGGTTCTGTGTTCTCGTCTGTAAAATGAGGGTGATACATAATTCCTAGAATGATTGAGAGACTGCTGGCTAAATAAGAACCATGGGAAAGCGTGAAGCCCCCCAGCTGGCACATGGTGGGAATTCCATGAATATCTGTAGAAACTGAAGGTGATGGTGACCATGGATGTTTCTTTGTTTGAATACCTTTACAGAACATGTTCATCATGGTCTCCTTGGGGCGGTTCTGGTTATATGGAGCGGATCATGGTCAGGGTGGCCAGGAGACCAGCCACTGAGCTGGGAGCTCTTTGCATCCACCTCCTCAGCTCCCATACCAGGGATATACCTCACCTCTTCTCGCCTCCCTGCCCTGACAACATTCCAGAGAATAGGAGGTGATCTTCCACCTGACTCAGGCAAACTGACATGCAGAGGCCCCAAGGCACATCTTGCCCTGGGAAGATAAACAGGTTTTTATTACCTCCCCCTTAGAACAAAGCCCCAGCCTCTGGCTGCTCTAGGAGGCACATTCCCAGGAAGAAAAAGTGACCTCCAGTTGAAGTGTGCATGTGACACCTAGACTGCGAGCCCATTAAGGGGAGGGAACCGAGGCTCTCAGGACCCCCTTTCCCCCTGGCACCCAGCACCGTTCCCATCTGAGTACGCCACGGTCAAGGAAGGTTTATTGAATTTTCATTCCTTTGTAATTTGTTTCTGTTTCTGAGCCAGGGGCTCCGTCCAGGTGAACAAAGTCAGACGCACTCCGCAGAATTCAAGAGGAAAATGCCATGTGTACCGGGTCAAGGTTGACAGAGCTGGAAGCTAACAGGCTCCACGGCTGTGCCCTCCTCCTTCCCTGCTCTGCTCCTGCCCCAGCCTGTCATGCTGAGGGTCCTGGGAGTAGACTCCTGAAGCAGGCCAAAGACAATGCTGTAGGTCCTTTAACGGAGAAAATTCAGCTCAGCGGCCCCCAGATTATACCACCCAGAAAGTTCCAAGGGCTTTCTCCTTCCCGATGATCTCAAACTCTGGTCTATGGAAGGACTTCCCTGGTGGCCCAGCGGTTGAGACTCTGAGCTTCCACTGCAGGGACCACAGGTTAGATTCCTGGTTGGCAAACTAAGATCCCACGTGCCTCAAGGCACGCCCAAAACAAGCTAAAAAACCCCTAAAACCTCTGGTCTATGGAGCCCAAAACAGTGCAAAAGGCACTAGGGTCTGCCTAACATACCCAAAGGGACCTGCCACTAAAACAAGCCAACTGACACAAACCCACCTTCCTCCTCTCTTTATCTTCTCTTCGCTGGGTCACCTCTTAGACCTCTCTGGCCAGTACCAGGCAGCCACCAGAGCTGCTTCTCAACTGGCAACAGCAGTAACACACCTGAACTCAGCCCCACGCCCTAAAGAGCAGCTGTGGCATTTCAGCCAGAGGGTGGCTCCCAGACCAGATTCCCTTCTCCCATGCTCCCCTCCTCCCGGCTGACTGATTCTCTTATTCAGTGACCAGCCTCTGACACCCCCCTCCTGACTTCCCCCCACCTCTACCAGGTGAGCAGTCAGTCATCCAAGGTCTACACGTGGAGAACAGCTGCTTCAGATTTCAGAGATTCTGGAGGCCTGGGGAGACTTTCCCAAATGAGATCCCCACTTCCTGCGCAGAGTCCCAGTTGCCTAGCAACTGCAGGACGCGCTCTGGGAAATCCGAAGCTTCGCCCCCAGCCCCCTGTGCAGTGATGAGCTGGTGTGTCCCACCTCCGAGGGCGTGCGCTGCAGCTGATAATTATCGGGTGGGGGGGGTGGGTAACGATCATAATCCCGGACCTGCTATTACTGTGTTTACCGAGGAGCGATTGCCACAGGAGCTCACACCACTGGCCTTTCCCAGGCCCTCACCCTTCCCGCCCAGTGCTGACTAAGGGAGTAGAATTAGCCTCGGGCTGTTCCCAGGAGTAGAAGCCACAGTCTCAGAGAGCCCCGGGGCGCTCTGACACCGGTTCTACCACTTATGCTGCTCCCCAAAGCTGAGAGCGGCCCCCAAAGAAGCAGGAGGAAGGCTGGGAGTGAGGCTCAGGCCACACACCCTTGGCCTGGGTGGGGGCAGGGAGGATCCCAGGCGAAGAGAACCAGAGGTGATGTATGGGGTGGGGTGGGGGGGGGAGGGGGTTAGGGAAGGCGGGGGCACTGGTCTTGCTGGACTCTCAGAGAAGCCAGTGACCCTACTCTGCCCTCTTTTCTGAGTGCCCACTCAAGGCCAGGCTAAGGATGAGGAAGATTTGTGGAGTTGAGGATGTTCAGCATCCCACTCCCATCCCACCCCACCCCCACCCCCTGCCCCTTGTGGTCATGGCTGGAACTTTGTCAGCTGTGTCAGCTCAGTTCTGTCCCTCAGTCATGTCCGACTCTTTGCGATCTCATGGACTGCAGCACGCCAGGCCTCCCTGTCCATCGCCAACTCCCAGAGTTTCCTCAAACTCATGTCCATTGAGTCGGTGATGCCATCCAGCCATCTCATCCTCTGTCGTCCCCTTCTCCTCCTGTGTGTCAGCTGTGTGGGGAAGAGTAAAAGAAAATTCCATGCCTTGTCAGGAAGCCAATGATGAAGGAGGACAGAAGTCTATAAAGCCAGCCCACTGCTTCTCTTCTGGGAACTCCCTTGTTTATGAGATCCCCACGTAGACTTCATGGGTGAAAAAAAAAAAAAAACAGGCTTTCAGAAAACTGTCTCTCTGAGAATGACATGGCACTTTCTGGAATGCCTGGAAGAGAGATGTCAGTGAGAAGGGCCCTCTCAGGATCCCCGGGTGCCTCTGGGGTTGTCATCAGTGGGCGGGGGCCTCCTGCACCTGTGTGTTCATGAGGAAGCCTGGCCTGTGACAGCAGTTAGCTGCTCCTGCCTGGACAAGGGTTGTCCCTCCTTCGGACAAGTTTTTCTCTGTTTAGGCTGTTGCCAACAATGTGATCAGGCAGTGGTTCTCAAACTTCAGAGGACATCAGAATCACTTGGTGAGACCCTGATAAGTTCAGACTCTGGAGCCCCATCCTGAGAGTTCTGTATTCAGCAGGTCTGGAGGGAGCCTGGAAATTTGCATTTTAAGTTCCCAAGTGAAGCCAGGGATGTTGGTCCAGAAACTACACGTTGAGAATCCCCGTGATGAAGGCCATGACGGATACAGTCTGTGGTCAGCTACACAGGTCCAGAGTATGGACAGGATCAGAGAGTACAGAAAGAAGGGTTGGGCCTGGGAAGGCGTTTGACTGCAGACCAGCCACCTGCATTTGGAATCTGGCATGTACAAGTGGTGTACACAGGTATGACGACTTAGATGCTTGTGCCGGGGTTAGGGCAGCAGTTTGGGAATGCGGAGACTAGAGGTGAAAGGCCCTGGCAACTTAGTCGACAATTCTTGTTATCGTCTCCCTCTCCCCGCTACAATCAGTCGCTTCCCTCCAGAGGAAGTTCCCTGAGCTCCGGCTCCGGCTCCCCGGTGACTCAGGTAAGGGGTAGGAAGGGAGGGCAGAGTGAGCTGAGCTGCGGGTCTCCAAGCACACCTGATCAATAGGAGCTCACCGGGCAGGACTCTGGCTCGGGGGGAGTGGGGTCCAAACGTCCGACAGGGAGGAGGCGGGGACAGCACAGCCTGTCTTCTGCTGGCAACTGGCGCTCTCCCCTCCTGGGCTCCGCCGGCGGGCACCCCAGCCAGATGTGCACTAGATGTCTGGACCAGTGGGAATCTAGTCCCTTGGGAGGTGGCAGGGGTGGCTCTGGGAGAAGGGGCCACCTCTGGGCGAGGTGGGGGGGTTGACATCCAGATATTCACCCTGGCCCCCAGGTCCTTCAGGGCAGGAGCCTGGGAGGAGTAAGACAATCCTTCTGGCCATCAAGCGTGGCTGCCCAGAGCAGAAGACTCCCAGGGAGGATGGGAATCAGAGGCCTGGGCCTCCAAGAGGTGATGACTAAAGATCAGGAAAGCCGACCCAGCCCTCCTGAGTCACTTCCCAGAGCTTCCTGGGAGCTGATGGGCTTAATGTGCCCAGCACCTGCCTCACCTATGGGCTAAGAGGGCATGTAGCATACAGTTTAAGGAGGAGCCAGGGAGATTTCGAGCCCCCCACCAAAACCGTCTCCCATCACCTATGGGAGGGCCAGAAATGAGTTTTCATTGCTTTGGGACTCAAGCTATTTTGGAGGGAAAACATGGGGTGGGGGACAGAGACAAAGGATGAAAAACACCAGCATCCTTTGGAGCAGAGGATGCCATCCAGGAAAGGGTGCGGGGTTGGCAGGAAGAGAACTTGCAGAGTCACTGCCCCTCGCAGGGGGCCTCCGCTTGCGCCAGAGGAGCGTCTCGGACATGCCGGCCACCTCTGGCCCCATGAGCAACAGGCTGGGCCCCTCCCGGCCTCCACACCCTGCTTTTTCCCGCCTCCCACCTGTCAGGCATGTTGCAAGACTCCATTGACCAATGTTGACAGAATGCTCCAGAGAAGAATGATCCCGTTGCCAAACGACTGAGTCATCCGGTCGCGTCACCCTTTGCTCCTGCCGGAGGAGCAGGGATCACGCGCAGTAACATTTCTTCATAAGGCCTCACCCCTTAGGCGGCCAAGCAGGCTTCCCAGGCCTGCCTTTTCACAAACACAGGAAAGGAACCTTTAGTGAGTGCCTGATGCATGCAAGGACTGAAGCAGACGCTCTCCCATATATTATGTTATCCAGTATGACAAACCTCGGGTGACATGATGACACCCATTTTTTCAGCTGAGGCCACAGAAGCAGAGCAGTTAAGTGGTTTGACCCAAAGTTAGTAGGTAGCACAGCAAGGAGTGGACACTGGCTGTCTTCACCCAGGTTCCCCCAGAGCAGAGCCTGATTATGTGTGAGCAGGACATTTGAGAATGTGGCCCAAGGAGGCAGCAACAGGGCAGGAGAGAGCACCAGCACAGACATAGTTATACAATGAAGCTGTCCATAGGGTCAACTGGTTGACCAGTCCCGTGGGACCCCCTGAGGACACTTTGAAATGTATCTCAAAATCATACAAAGTGGAGAGACCAGACTTATGGGGGCCAGGGGGAAGTGAGGAGGGACGAGTTGGGAGATTGGGACTGACATATACACACTGCTATACATAAAACAGATAACTAATAAGGACCTACTGGATAGCACTGTAATGACCTAACAAAGCCTGGAAATATATATAAATATATAACTGATTCACTTTGCTATACACCTGAAACTAACACAACACTGTAAATCAACTATACTCTAATAAAAATTATTTTTTAAAAAACCATCCACCAGAAGAAAGGGGGAAAGCATTTATCCACTGGCTGTGGTTCCTCATTGGGCTAGAGTTGTCCCACAGGGTATTATCTCCTCTGCATTTCTGAGCTGTGAGTATACAAGTCTGGGAATTCTGCACAGAACTGGCCACGGCAGCAGAGGCTGGAATACGATCCCAGGCACTGAAGGCTTGCAGAGGTGCCTAAGGGCCGTGCTCTGGTCCACCACCTGTCCCACCACACCATCACAGATACGCTGAGTAACTTGCACATGACCACCAGAGCACTCAGTGAACCAGTGAAGTTGCTCAGTTGTGTCCAACTCTTTGCGATCCCATGGACTATAGCCTACCAGGCTCCTCCATCCATGGAACTTTCCAGGAAGGGTACTGGAGTGAGTTGCCATTTTCTTCTCCAGAGCACTCAGGGGAAGAGCCAAAATGTGAATTACAAGCCCTGACTCCCGTCCAATCATTCAACAAATATTTAGTGCAGGCCTACTATGTGCTAGACCCTGGGGCATAGTAGTGAACCAGGAAAGCAAGATCCTTGCTCTTATGGAGGTTAAATTCTAGTGGGGGGAGGGAAGGGGCATGGGGGACACAGGCATTTAGCAACTGAACAAATACACAAGTGCTGATTGTTATCAGGCACTGTGCCAAGCACTGAGAAATCCCAGAAGAAACTGTTTTCTTCTCAGGGAGACCCAGGAGCAAAGCACCGCAATCTAATATGGTAACTACTGTAATTCGGGTAATGGTTAGGGTTTGGGTTAGGCACAACATTCCCTGGAGCACTTAGAAGGGGTAGCTTACTCTAGACTGGGGAGGGGTGGTGGGCATCGAAAAAGATGAGATGCAAGCTCTTTGGAAGGCCAGGCATCTCTGGAGTTGGGAAAGGGGAGAGTGTTCTTAGGGGGAGGGAACAGCATACGCCAAGTTAGAGAGGACTGAGAAGATGCTGTGCTCTGGAAAGATGCAAATAAGTCAGTGTGACTATTTGGTGTCTATATGCAGGAGAGTATCAAAAGATGAGGCAGAAATGGTAGGCAGGGGATGAACCACAAATATTTGAGTCCCTAAAACTGCAGCATTTGGATTTAATTCTGAAAGTGAAGGCAAACCTCTTTTAGTCCTCTAAGCCCAATTAGCTCTTGAACATCTCAGCTAAGAAGGGAGATAAAACCAATCAGTCAGCACAGAAATAGACCCCAGTGACCTTGGAGCCCCGGAGGACGACTGACCTGTGTTGTTTGGCTTATAAGTCAACAACTCAGCCCTCGACACTTGAAAAAGCATGGAGGCAGAGGGCTCTCTCTTGGCCACTCTGTCCAGTGTACCAACCTCAAGGTCAGTTCCTCTGGGGCTAAAGA